AAACCCCCAGAGGGGCTCCAGAGATGGGGGACACAACTCTCCAGCTCCACACCATAAATATTTTCCTGCTTTTTTCCTTCTCCTTGGCACCACAGGAGGCCAGTGCTCCACCTCTGTGAGATGCAGCGTTAAAGCTCACACAAATCATGGAATCACAGGATGGTTTGGGTTGGAAGGGACATTAAGGATCATTTCATTCCAACCCCCTGCCATGGGCAGGGACACCTTCCACTACCCCAGATTGCTCCAAGCTGGCCTTGGACACTTCCAGGGATGGGGCAGCCACAGCTTCTCTGGGCAACCTGTGCCAGGGCCTCACCACCTTCCCAGCGAAGAATTCCTTCCCAAAATCCCATCTAACCCTGCCCTCTGGCAGTAGAAAGCCACTCACCCTTGTCTTGTCCCTCTATCCCTTGTCCCAAGTCCCTCTCCAACTCTCCCAGATCCCCTTCAGGCCCTGGAAGGGGCTCTGAGACATCTCCAGAACCTTCTCTTCTCCAGGCTGCACATTCCCAATCTCTCAGTCTTAATCCAAGCCACTGCCCCCACACCACCTCAGTGGCAGCTCCCAAATTCCCAGCACGTTCCCAGCCTGTCTTTCCCAGGCAGGGATGGGCAGGACAGTGGTGGAGCTGCACCCAGGCTGGATTTGGCCCTGGCTCTGCTGGTGTGACAGGATGAGTTATCAGCCACTGGGGTTTCCATAGCAATCCCTCGGATTTTTAGCACCAACCCTGGCTTTTGCCAGCCTGGAAGGGAAAACTGGGGAGCCTGATTAACATATTGGTCTGCCTGGGAAACTGTTAATTGCCTTTTTATTTAATTAGTGTGGGGGGTTGAGGAGGAGGAGGAGAAAGTGCTGGAAAACCTCTCCCAGTGTTTCACCCGAAATCCTGGAGTTACACCCCAGTAACTCTACCTGGAGATGGAGAGGGGACAGGTGTGCACCTGCTCCATAGAAACAGAGCAACCACATCCCAGGGGAATTGGGAAAATCCATTGGATTGGGGAAAATCATTTAGATCACAGAACCTCCTGAGCTGAGAGGGACCCCCAAGGATCATCCAGTCCAAGTCCTGNAGCTGCCCCTCCTGAGGAAGCTGCAGGCTGCAACATATTATAAATATTATATTATTCTATTTTAAATACATATATAATTATTATTAAAAGTTGGTTTTTATACATGCTTAATGTTAATAGGTTAATGTTGCCCACAGGGGCACAAACACTGACCAGTGAGGAAGGGCTGGGGGGTCTCTGGGATGTTGTTGCCACGGAGCAGGTTTGGGCCAGGAGATGCCTCATGTTCCCTGTGGGATTGTGTCCCAGTGGAAGGAATGTTGGGAGGCATCAAGAATGTTGCCCACAGGGGCACAAACACTGACCAGTGAGGAAGGGCTGGGGGGTCTCTGGGATGTCGTTGCCACGGAGCAGGTTTGGGCCAGGAGATGCCTCATGTTCCCTGTGGGATTGTGTCCCAGTGGAAGGAATGTTGGGAGGCATCAAGGCTGTTCCACAGTGTCCCTCCGGGCTCTGGCAGCTCCAAGGTGTGGGATCCCACGGGAAAATGTGGGATTTGCAAGTTCAGCTTCAAGAAAACATGGGATGAGGAGGATGAGGAGGGTGGTGTCCTTTGGGTTTCTCTGATGAAGGCACAGATCCAAAACCACAGGATCACGGAGTCATTGAGGTTGGAAAAGACCTCCAGGATCATCCAGTCCAACCTGTGCCCCATCCCTACCTTGTCCCCCAGCCCAGAGCACTGAGGGGCACTTCCAGTCCTTCCCTGGACACCTCCAGGGCTGGGCACTCCAAACCTCCCTGGGCAGCCCCTTCCAGTGCCTGAGCACCCTTTCCATGGAGAAATTCCTCCTGATGTCCAGCCTGACCCTCCCCTGGCACAACTTGGGACCGTTCCCTGTCCTCCTGTCCCTTGTTCCCTGGGAGCAGAGCCCGACCCCAACCAGCTCCCCTCTCCTGTCAGGGAGTTGCAGAGAGCAAACCCACCGTTTACTTGGATTTTTCTCCAGAGTGATTGATTTTTTTCTCTCTCCAGAAAAGCCTCCAAGAGCCTCCCGCACTTCAGGAGCGTTTCCTGGTGCCACCACGAGCGACGGGATCAAGTGATCCCCTATTTGGGGACAAAACTGTCCTGAGGGACCCTGAGCCAAAGGGAGCCCAGACTGAAATGCCAGGACTGGGGTGCAGAGAGGCCCTTCCCCACA